TGTACCACAAACCTACCATATCATACTAGTGTCAATGTACCACAAACCTACCATATCATACTAGTGTCAATGTTCCTATTTCTACAGATTAACTATACATCAAACACCTGTATCCAATATTAAGGATGCTCAGTTAAACTTCCAAAGACTGTCTCCACCTCCAGTGATGATTCAATATGGTATGTGTCCTATATTGTCCCCTCCATCTTAAAGTATATGATAACACATACAAGTGTCAATGGTAGGATTACACTGTACTGTAGAAACCAGATCAGAAGACATCTGTAACTAACTGAACAGGAAACAGACTTTACCTGGAGAAATCCTCTGGTACTGCTTTTGCTCCAACTTTCAGATCCTCTACTGTTTCAGACCTTAAAGCCTGCAGCTGTTCCACATCATGATCATGTGATTTCACAGCAGGTCTCCTTCCAAACTTCTCAATGAACCTGAGAAAAACTAAAAACCCATTATGGTGTTACATATTACCCATGTGATGTAAATTTTGGTAGGTGATGCTATGCAACAGTAATTCCCCTTGATGTTAAAGGGGCATCACGCTGAAGTAACTAATTTTTTGTGTCTTTTTTTCAAATACTACATAAACATATCAAGTGAGACTCCTTATGGAAAATAATGATCGGATTTGGCTGAAATAGATTCATAAAAATGACTAAATCTAAGATAATCATCGATATTTCTACCTGTCTGACCAACGTTTTGTTCAGGGATTTCCCTCTACTAGCGCATGCGCATTGCACAACATTTCTTTGTAAACAAAATGACTGGCCGTGTGAAGTTAGCCAAAGAAAAGTGTTGTACCATGGCAGCTACGAAGCGAAAAGTTGCCAAATGGTCAAAAGATAGCGCAAGGAGTACATTATGGAATCATTATTACAGGTGGGAAGTATTCAAAGGAGAAAATAACTGCCCTAGCAGTTAGCACGGTGCATGTATTCTTCCGGATAGCTGGTTAAGTTGAAATGCAATCGACAGAAATGCTAGCGCTGTTTATGTTATGAATGAATATTTAAAACTATTAACCTCGCTAGTATCTTTGTCTGAGTTTGAACACAGATGAACTTAGTTTAATATGTCAATGGGCATGTATCGGAGAGAGTTTACTTTGTGTTTCTATAATTATACAGTGGTTTATGCGAAAGGAAGGGATAAGTGACTAGTTAGTTTGATTTTGTCATGAGGCCCTCCAAGGGTTAACTGTTGTGATAGCCACGGCATATTCTGTCTCTGTCGGTACTCGTGATCAGGGTCAAATGAGATACGTGTGCTTTTAGATTTACATAATTTATAATATTACCGGGTTCAGTAAATGGTATGATTTAATTATATTGCTGAATTAAACGATTTTTGTTTTGTTTTTACATACAAGATTTAAATTAGTACTAATATGAATACCCAGCTTTCTCTGGCGCAACGACGCAATATATAATAAAAAACCTCTCGTCGTCAGAAAGCTACATTATCACAGCTAGATTAACAAGAGGCCCATGGGCCTTAACGGTCACCTGATATATTTATACAGAGTCGATTTTGTTTTAAACACGAACAGAAATATTATTCAAAGTGACAAAAAACAATAAAACCACCTTATTCAAGTTATTAACATGTGATATTCAAAGTATCATTTGCCATTATAAACCATAATAAATTTTAACCCCCCCCCCTTCCCCGGGGGGTAAACATGTTATTAACATGTGATATTCAAAAAGACCCTTCCATCTATGAAGAGTGTTTGATTCTACCATATCTTGGTCTTGAGAAGAAGATTTTTGAAATTTCAGTCAATTCAACCCTTTTTGGCCCCACCCATCAGCCCCAGGGGCTCAGTCAGGGCTCATATGTGCATACTATCAAACTGCTACCTTATACTGATAATGCTAACCTAAATTGAATTACTTCCAATGGAAATTAAACAAATGTTGGCCCAAAATGTGATTTCCCCTATATAAACTATAGTAAAGTTTACCCCCTCCCCAGGGGGAAACTTGAGACCCCAGGGTCAAGAAATTCACAATTTTGGTAAAGCACCTCAAGACCCGTCCATCTAAGAAGAGTATTTGATTCTACCATATCTGGGTCTTGAGAAGAAGATTTTTGAAGTTTAAGTCAATTTGACCCTTTTTGGCCCCCCCCTCAGGCCCCTGGGGCTGGGGACCAAACCGGCCACCATTTTTGTTGTCCTTTGGCTATGGAAGGTTTCTGCAAAATTTCATTGAAATTGGTTCAGGTGTTTTGGAGAAGAAGTTGAAAATGTAAATTGTTTACGGACGCACGCCGGACACCGGACAAAAGGTGATCGCAATAGGTCACTTGTGACTTTGTCTCAGGTGACCTAAAAATCAAAAACGTTTCTCTTTTTTTATACGCATGTAGTTTGTCATTGCATATAATCACTTTATGAAAACATTTGAAAAGGGATATTCGTGAATATTCCTTTTTACAGAAAGGTTTGTCCCATGGTTGAAGAAAGGTGTTTAGCCCCGTACAGATGTCACTTTCCGGTACTAAAATCAATATATATTTATATATATATACTTTATGTTTATGCCTATTATCATTGTTGACATTTAATTGTAAATGTATGACAGGAGAAGGCTGTGCTAAATTGTAACAAGAAGCCCAGAGGGCCTGTATTGCTCACCTGAATATGGGTAAAATAATTGGTATGAAGTAAAGATATAGCTTTCCATGGTAGGTGCTGTAAGTACATATGGAATTTCAGAAAGATCCATCCAGTACTAGAGATATAGTGAGAACAAACTTCAAACAGAGCCCCACCCCTATGCCCCTAGGAGGGTCATACCCACCGTTTATACAAAATTGAGACCCCTTGGACAAAGGATGCTCCAGACTAAAAAAGGATAAAATCCCTTAATGGTCGAAGAAGGATTTTAAAGGTTTTACCTCTATTTCTCCTATTGGGTCCCGCCCTTATGCCCCCTGGGAGACCACGACAACTGCTTATACAAAATTGAGTCCCCTTGGCCCAAGGATGCTCCAGATAAAATTAGGATAAAATCCCTAAATCCCTATGGTAGAAGAAAGGATTTTAAAGGTTTTACTTCTATTTCCCCTATTGGGCCCCGCATCTCTACCTCCAGGGAGGTTAGACACACCGTTTATACAAAATTGGTTCCCCTTCATCCAAGGATGCTTCAGCCCAAATCCTTTCAATCCTACAGAAGAAGGATTTTAAAGAATTTGCTATATTTCCCCTATTAAGCCCGGCCCCTCAGGCCCCTGGGGGGCCAGACCCACCGTTTATACAAAATTGGTCCCCTTCATCCAAGGATGCTTCATACCAAATTTGAACAAACTCATGCCATTCGTACAGTATAAGAAGGATTTTAAAGAGTAATTTGCTATGTTCCCCTATTGGGCCCACCTCTCAGGCCCCTGGGGGGCCGTACCCACAGTTTAAACAAAATTGAATCCCCTTGGCCCAAGGATGCTTCAGACAAAATATGGAACAAATCCTTTCATTCCTACAAAAGGAGAAGGATATTAAAGAATTTGCTATATATCCCCTATTGGGCCCCGCCCCTCAGCCCCCAGGGGGGCCACACCCACCGTTTATACAAAATCGATTCCCCTTTACCCAAGGATGCTCCACACCAAACATGTACTAAACCTTTTCATTCCTACAGAAAAAGAAGGATTTTAAAGAATAATTTGCTATGTTTCTCCTATTTGGCCCTGCCCCTCAGGCCACTGGGGGCCAGACCCACAGTTTATACAAAAATGGTTTCCCTTCACGCAAGAATGCTTCAGACCAAATATGGAACAAATCCTTTCATTCCTACAGAAGAAGAAAGATTTTAAAGAATTTGCTATGTTTCCCTATTGGGCCCTGCTCCTCAGCCCCCAGGGGGACCACACCCACCGTTTATACAAAATTGAGTCCCCTTGGCCCAAGGATGCTCCAGACTAAATAAGGATAAAATCCCTTAATCTCTACGGTAGAAGAAGGATTTTAAAGGTTTTACCTCTATTTCCCCTATAGGGCCCAGCCCCTATGCCCACAGGGGGGCTACACCCACCGTTTATACACAATTGAGTCCCCTTGGCCTATGGATGCTCTAGACCAAATTTAGTCAAAATCTACTTGGGCGTTCAGGACTAGTAGCGTTTTAAAGAAAAAGTTGACGGACGGACGGAGGGACGCCGGACGCTGCGGTATGGCAAAAAAACTTGTGCCCCATCCCTTGTTCAATTTTATTGGCAACAAATATATTTAAAGCTAAATAAATTTAAATTCTGAATATTGGCAAGTGTGCAATTAACTTCTGATGATGAATAACTACTGTTCAATAAGCTTTAATACAGACTTAGAAATCATATTACTTGGTTTCATAGTGCGGTAAGAAGTTGCAGTTGCCTGACGCCCCTCTCTGGGGACCCCTTTGGAAACCGTTTCATCTCTCCCAGACCGCACATGTTTACTGCCTAGTCAGGCGATGTTATCGGCGCTATTTTTAGCAGGGTTTTACCGACCAATTCAAGTGGTCAAACTGGACATTTTGAACGGACTATGAATATGGGGATAGCGAGGTAACATAAGTGGAAGTGCATACAATACATGCATTCATAAAAAAAAAATATGGCTCTTCACAGAATGTCCCTTTAATCATGAAGAGGATTTATATTGCCTCAAGTTGGATACACATTCATCTTTTTGTGTTCAAAATTATTTCCTTTTTAAAGTAGAATTGACTTTTGACCTGAAAGGCAATCAAAAGAAATGATTTGATTTTTAAAACACTCCATAAAGACTGAGAATGATTGACACAACAGAAGTTCAGTTACTGTATAAAGAAATACTGATTTAGTGGAATTACTGCTGAAAACTACAATAAATTGTGATTTGCAAAAACATGCTATGATACATATTGGCAAGTTTAATCAGACAAAAAGCAACAGATGGGTTGATACTAATGTGAATCAAATTGTAAGCAAAGCATGACATACCTAGTGGGGCAGTGTAGGGTAGGGAGGGATAGGGTAGGGGAGTACTGTAGATAGGATGGGAGAGTATTGTAGGTAGAGATAGGGTGGGGGAGTACTGTAGATAGGATGGGAGAGTATTGTAGGTAGAGATAGGGTGGGGGAGTACTGTAGATAGGATGGGAGAGTATTGTAGGTAGAGATAGGGT